AACGTCCCAGTGGCTTTTAAACCCCAAAATACATTAAAGACTGGTTCATCCCAAAGATCCAGTCCCCCGGCACAAACAGAGTAATGTTGTGTATGTTGTTCAGTGTCAGGAGGGTGATCAGTCTTACATTGGGGAAACTAAACAGCCACTGGCCAAAAGGATGGACCAGCACAGAAGATCAACATCATCAGGCCAGGACTCTGAGGTCTACACTCATCTCCAGGCCAGAGGTCACTCTTTCAGGGATGAAGATGTTCACATCCTGGACAGAGAGGAACGATGGTTTGAGAGAGGAGTAAAGGAGGCCATCTTTGTGAAAAGAAACCGTCCATCATTAAACAGGGGCGGAGCCTCCAGGTTCAACTGTCCCCCTCTTACAATGCTGTGATTGCTAGTATCACTCAGCCCTCTGTGAACAGTAAACAGCCATCAGGTGCTAATGATCCATTGTTAGGCTGATGGTCCTTCTTGAGCATGTGATCAGCTGGTTTTGGTTGTCAGCAGCAAACTGGTTGATCCACTCTGAGAAGGTGCTATTTAAGAGACTGAGCTGAATACAGCACCTCAGACTGAAGAAGTCCTTTGGATGAAGGACGAAACATTTCAACAAGAAGAATCATCCAGAGGACCGGACTCCACCTTGTTAGTTTTATCTTCCTGGATTATTGAGCAGCATCAGGATATTTTTCACGGGGTTCTATTTTTGTATTTTTAAGGTAGTGGCTTGGAAAAAGATGGCGTGCATCACATTGTGAACAAAACCCAAGGGATCATCACCCTGTACCGGCACCAGAGGGCTGCGTTTGCCATCACCAGTAAGAGGGGTCCGGCCCCAAAAAACCCCAAAACTCCCACAACAGAGCTTCCTCCGGGCAGCACCATAAGCACCGACAACGATGAGGTACCAAGAGTTCCTAAATATTGCTTGTCCTCATATTTCCATCAATAAATGATATTTTTTTTCTTCCAGAGTAAAAAGCCATTACTGATCCAGAGGAGAGGGGCGGAGTTCACTCTGACGACCATTGCCAGGCACTTCGGTACAAACCTCGCCAAGTGTCTGCCGTACCTCTGGGAGAGCACGGTGGGGCCTTTGAGAACCGCGGCCATGGCAGATCTGTCCATTGGTATGTTTGTTTTCTTGTTGCCTGTTTGTAACTGCTGTGCTCTGAATCACGGTTCCTCTTCCTGTCGTTTAGATCGAGCGGCTCAGCTGGAGCGAGGCGACGCTGCAGCTCAGGAACTGGTCAACTCTCTGCAAGTTCTGGAGGTCATGGCTGGAGCCATGGCTGCTGAGCTCAGGCCGTTGGTAAGGCCACGTCCAAAGTTTCATCTTTAAAGCAAATGTCAAGTCTGAGACATTAATCTGGTTCTGATTCTCTGTAGTTACTGGAACACCTGCCTCATCTGTTCACCTGCCTGCAGCACCCGTACACCGCAGTGCGACACATGGCGGCGCGCTGCGTAGGTGTGTTCAGTAAGATCGCCACCCTGGAGACCATGAACCGTTTCCTGGAGTGTGTTCTCCACTGGTTAGCTGCTATTGATGACCGCACCAAGCAGGAGGGCGCCATCGAAGCTTTAGCTTGTATCCTTCAGGGAAACCTGAAAGTATTTTTTTATTGAGCTGTTGTACTTTTCTTCTGATGGTGTGAACGTCTCAGACTTGGCAGCTGGTCCTGCAGATTATCGTCCTTGACCAGCGTGTCTCCAGGCGTCATGGAGCAGCTCGATGTAGACATCGTGCCCTACATCGTGCTGCTGGTGGTTCCGGTGTTGGGCCGCATGAGCGACCCCGGGGACAGCATCCGCTTCATGGCCACGCAGTGTTTCGCCACACTGATCCGCCTGCTGCCGCTGGAGGTACGCACACCCAAGCAGACGTGACATCATCGATCCGTTGGAGAAAAAAAAAAACACACCCTCTAATCCTACACAGGGGTCCCAACCCTGGGCCCTGAGGAACACCATCCTTCATGTTGTAGTTGCTTCTCTGCTCCGACACAGCTGATTTTAATAAACAGGTTTCTGCAGAACATGAGGAAGTAATTAAATCACTGATCAGGTGTGTTGGAGCAGGATGGTGTTCCTCAAGGACCAGGGCTTGAACCACTGCTTTATATGAGGCATTGATATAAAATAATTAGATTCTTACCAAGTCCTAAAATCAGGTGAAAACATTTTACATGGCAGCATCAAATAAATCAAGATAAGAATGATGGAGACACATCAAGGTGTTGGAGAGAACAACTCCCAGCATCTGTCTCTGCTGCTGCTCTTTTATTTTGAAGGGATTTTAAAGTGGAAACTGGTCTCAGGTGAGCTCAGCTCCACCGTCAGGACGTTGTTGCCAACTATTCAGAGTGTTTTTGTTTAAACCCATTTCTTTTGCAGATTTTAAGTTTCTGCTGATCAGTTTGAGGTCCTGACGTAAAAGGTCACAGTTTAATTTTTTTAAACCAGGCAGGTATCCCTGATCCACCGGCCATGTCTGCTGACCTGATCGAGCAGAAAGCAAGAGAGCGTCACTTCTTGGAGCAGCTGTTGGATGGGAGAAAGCTGGAGAACTACAAGATCCCGGTGCCGATTAAAGCCGAGCTCAGGAAGTACCAGCAGGTCGGTGGTGGATCCTCGTTGCTGACGAGCTTAAAGAGCTCCGAGAAAGCGTGGAGTTGATTTCATGACAGTTTGTGTTCATCTCCGGCTGCGCTTGATTCTTTCATTCATCAGATGTTCTCGTGTCGTTCTGTAGGACGGAGTGAACTGGTTGGCCTTCCTCAACAAATACAAGCTGCACGGGATACTGTGTGACGACATGGGCCTTGGAAAGACGCTGCAGTCCATCTGCATCCTGGCAGGAGATCACTACCTCAGGTACCGAGTCCAAACAGAATCCCGTGCACGTGATGCAGAGAAATGAAGCGTTTGCTAGAACACGTGCGTGCGTGTGAATTTAATGAAGATGTGAAGAGGGAACTGAGGCGTGTCGGGTGTCGATCACTTCATCCTCTTGAAGCGTTTGACGACGTCGTCTCAGATGAACTGCGTTTATTTCAGGACACAGGAATACGCCCAGACCAAGGCTGCAGACAGCAGCCCTCTCCCCTCCCTGGTGGTGTGTCCTCCCACGCTCACGGGCCACTGGGTGGACGAAGTGGAAAAGTTCTGTGCCAAGGAGTACCTGAACCCGCTGCATTACATGGGGCCTCCTATAGAACGGATGCGGTACGGATTAGTGAGTTTGTTGCAGGGGTCTGGGTCCTGCGCTGCTTCATGTTCATGCTTCATGTTGTGCTTCATTTCTTCAGGTTGCAGCATCAAGTGAAAAAACACAATCTCATCGTCGCCTCTTACGACGTCGTACGGAACGACATCGACTTTTTTAGGTGAGCGTTCTTCAAAATGTCTTTATGTGGACGCAGGCACCCCAGGTGACCATCTCTTCTTTTTCACCACAGGAACATCAAATTTAATTACTGCATCCTCGACGAGGGTCACGTCATCAAGAACGGCAAAACCAAACTCTCCAAAGCCATCAAACAGATCGCTGCAAACTTCAGGGTCATCTTATCAGGAACACCCATTCAGGTGCGGGCTCAGCACCACCACTTGTTGGACGTTGGACTCCACAGAAGCGTTGACGGTTTTTCTCTTGGTGTCCTCAGAACAACGTCCTGGAGCTCTGGTCCTTGTTCGACTTCCTCATGCCGGGTTTCCTGGGAACGGAACGGCAGTTTGCTGCTCGCTACGGGAAACCCATCCTGGCCAGCCGGGACGCCAAGAGCTCCTCGCGAGAACAGGAAGCAGGCGTGTTGGCTGCTCTTCTTCCAAATGTCTCTTCTTCGTTGTTAAACGTTCTGTTAGAATGACAGTTTTGTCCTCGTTAGGAGTCCTGGCCATGGAAGCCTTGCATCGACAGGTGCTGCCTTTCCTTCTGAGGAGGATGAAGGAGGACGTCCTCCAGGATCTTCCTCCTAAAATAATTCAGGACTACTACTGCAACCTGAGCCCTCTGCAGGTACGTCTCGTCTCCAGGCTGCGACGCTTTAAGACCGCTGGTGCAAAACTCAGAAAATATTTACTTTTTTCTTTGAAGTTTCACTGAATCCTGAATGTTTGCAACCAGCGAGTCGTGCCGACGAGTTAAAAAATAAAATAAAATTGTTGGCGAAACCTAATTTAGCTGAAGCTAATTCCACTAATTGTTTCCAGAGTTAGTGAAGATGCTAATCCTCCAAATGAGAACTTTGTTCTGCTGTTGGCAGATTAGCAGAACTGATCACTTGTGGTTCAGTTTGTTCCCCGACTCACTTAAAACCTGTTTATTTTTTCTATTCAGTTTGTTTAAGCTTCCTGTCATCTTCCATTCAAATCATTCTTTAAAAAGAGTTCTCCAAGTTTTACTTCCACAACTAAACGTTTCAAATGATCTCGACTCGATGAGGAGAAGATGCAAACGTCTCGAGACGTCTTGGACACTTCCTGTCAACATGGCTGCTCTTCCTCTGATCCACAGAAGAATCAAATAAAACGGGACGAACCCGGAAAGAGTTCTTGTTTAAAATGCAGCATCCTTGATCTGGGGTCAAAGATTGTGACGGTTTTAAATTTAAACATGGAACACAATCGGTTCAGTTTGTCTCGTAGAAGCAAAACCACGGAGCGATTTTTAGGAGTTTATTTCTGCCCTTTCGTTTCAACGTGCACTTGAAGACGAGCTCACCTTCATCCTTTTGAGCACGAACCTGAAAGGCTGCCTCACTTTCTGCAGGTCCAGCTTTACGAAGACTTTGCCAAGTCCAGAGCCAAGGCCAGCGTGGAGGACAGCATCTCTTCGGTCTCGAGTGAGGAAGAGGAGAAGCCTAAACTGAAGGCCACGGGCCACGTCTTCCAGGTGCGCTTCATTTACTCGCCGTTACTTTTTACACTTGAATCTTTTTCTCCCGTTCCAACAAATCCAGCGAGATCTCCGAGCTCGGAACGCTCGTGGTGTTTTCAGACGATGTTTCTGCAGCGTGGCAGGTTGTTACAAATGTTGGATTTATTTATTCATAAATGTGGAAAATATCTGATTTATTATTTTTTATCTAAACTGGTGTCGACGTGGTCCGAGTTACTTCTTGAAGAGTTTTCCATTTCAGTGTTTTGGTCCGTTTCTTTACCGCAGTAATACTCAGTTTCATGTCTGGGTCCAGGCGCTGCAGTACCTGCGTAAGCTGTGCAACCACCCGAGCTTGGTTCTGACCCAGCAGCATCCAGAGTACAAGCGGATCACGGAGCAGCTGGCGGCTCAGAACTCGGGCCTGCGGGACATTCAGCACGCGCCCAAACTCTCCGCCCTCAGACAGGTAGTCGGACGCAGCGTCTTGGTGGTTTTATGAGAACTCGTCGGTCGTGCAGCAGCTCCGTTTCACACTGTGGTTCTGACCCGTTTCAGCTGCTGCTGGACTGTGGTCTGGGTGGTGGAGGAGGGTCCGAAGGCGCCACCGAGGCCGTGGTGGCCCAGCACCGCGTGCTGATTTTCTGTCAGCTGAAGAGCATGCTGGACATCGTAGAGCACGACCTGCTGAAGCCCAAACTGCCGTCAGTAACCTACCTGAGGCTGGACGGCAGCGTGCCGGCCGGGCAGCGCCACGCCATCGTCTCCAGGTCCGAACCCGGTTAATGGAAACATTCCAGGGAACAAATGGAGATGAGACTTCACGTGTCTTCTGGTTTGATTCTCAGGTTTAACAATGATCCGTCCATCGACGTGCTGCTGCTCACCACACATGTTGGTGGTCTGGGTTTGAACCTGACCGGCGCCGATACCGTGGTGTTCGTGGAGCACGACTGGAACCCCATGAGGGACCTGCAGGCCATGGATCGGGCTCATCGGATCGGACAGGTACTGGTGTCCAACCCAAGCTCCTCCTGTAGCGACGCTTCACGTGATTCTCTGTAATCAAAGTGACGTCGTGACTTGTCTGCTTGGTGCAGAAACGGGTCGTCAACGTCTACAGGCTGATCACTCGAGGCACGCTGGAGGAGAAGATCATGGGGCTGCAGAAGTTCAAGATGAGCATCGCCAACACCGTCATCAACCAGGAGAACACCAGCCTGCAGAGCATGGGCACGGACCAGCTGCTCAACCTGTTCACCCTGGACACGGTGAGGCTCGCAGGTCCTGCACGTCGAGTCGGCTTTATTTATGAAGCACGTTTAAAACAGCAGCCGTTACCAAAGTGCTGGACAATAACATCAATGAGTCAAATTAATGGGAAAAATAAAAGATTAATTAAAAGCATTAAAGAAAAACACAGAACAAAAATAGTAAACCAACTCTCGCTGTGAAAGCTAGAGAAAACGGATGTTGGCAGAGACTTAAAAACAGGAAGTGAAGTGGTCTGTCTAATGTTGGGCCAGGTTGTTCCAAAGTTTGGGGCCCACAACTGGAAAATCCCGATCTCTGAGCTTCAGTTTTTGTTTTTGGAACAGACAAAAGCCGCTGATGATCTCAGCGCCCCAGAAGGAACACATGGTTGCAGTAGCTCAGACAGATGAGGGTGCAAGACCATTGAGGCACTTGAAGGTCAACAGGAAAATTTTAAAATCACTTCTGATATGTACAGGGAGCCAGTGAAGGGAGGACACAACTGGAGGAATATGCTCCAACCTACATAAGTTGAGTTGAGCTGCAGCATTTTGGATGAGCTGGAGATGTGAAATGGACACCTGGCTGACTCCAGCATAGAGTTTTAGTCCAGTCAGGTTGTAATGAAGACATGGACTATTTTTCAAGGTCAGATCAGGTCAACTGCCTTAACTGGAAGAAGCTTTTCTGCAGAACAGAGTTGATTTGTTTGTCAAACTTAGTCAGAGTCTAAAACCATCCCGAGATTTTCAACAGACTGTTTTAAGATGTGACTGAAGAGAGTCCATGTTTCCATAATCAGACTGTGGTTTAGCTTTAATGTCGTCCTGACGTTTTAAATGGTAAATGGTAAATGGAGCTTACTTCTATAGCGCCTTCCAGCCCCCTATGAGGGGCCCCAAGGCGCTTTACAGTACCAGCCATCCACCCATTCACACGCACATTCATACACCGGTGGCGGTAGGCTGCCATGCAAGGCGCCATCCAGTCCCACCGGGAGCAACTCGGGGTTAAGTGTCTTGCCCAGGGACACAACGGCACATGGTGTGGGAAGTCGGGATTCGAACCTCCAACCTTCCGATCAGAGGTCGGCTGCCACTACCACTGCACCACGGGCGCCCACAGAGCGCCCTCTTTAACAGAGGGTGAATGGAGCAAGCACCAGCTGGTTTCAAGGGCAGATAAATCTGACAGTCATCAGCATAACAATGGAATGAGGGCAGCACAGTGGAACAACTGGTAGAGCTGCTGCCTCTCAGCAAGCAGGTCCCTGGTTCAAATCCCGGTCCAGGGGCCTTTCTGGGTGGAGTTTGCATGTTCTCTCCGTGCATGCGTGGGTTTTCTCCGGGTGCTCCCGTTTCCTCCCACAGACCAAAAACATGCATGTTAGACTGATTGGTGACTCTAAATTGTCCCATGGTGTGAGTGAGAGAGTGAATGGTTGTTTGTCTAGTTTGTCTCTGTGTCCCTGTGATGGACTTGCGACCTGTCCAGGGTGTACCCCGCCCCTCGCACAGTGATAGCTGTACATGGGCACCAGTGACCCCCGTGACCCAAAAAAGGAAGAAGTGGGTAAAACATAATTGATGAGTGGATGGAACAATATAATGAAAATGTTTCCTCAGGATAGAGAGCCAGAGGGAGAGAATGGTGAGAACAAAAGGAGTCCAAGAATTGAGCCCTGTAGGATCTCACCAATGGATCTCTAGGAAAGAGGCATTGAAGCAGATACGTTATTGCCAACCTTGACACAGAAACTCCTGTTACTCGGGTATGAGCGGAACGGGCAGACACGGGTGACATGGTGAGGTTCTCGGGTCCTGCAGGTCAGGTTTAAAATATCTTGATCTCTTCTTCCATATGAGACGTAAGGCGTGCAGCAGACACTTTTTTTTTTTTGTATCGAGCCTTTTTAAAGTTCAGAAGCAGTTTGTGTACTTTCAGTTTGTGTACTAAAGAAGAGAAACTGGCAGACGTTCAGGTCAGAACCATGTCGGGCTAAACTTTGTTTTTCTGACCGTTTCAGGATGAGAAGGGAAGCGCAGGTGAGCAGGCATCGTCAACCTCAGGGAAGGCCTCCATCAAGTCCGTTCTGGACGGCCTGGGGGAGCTGTGGGACCAGCAGCAGTACGACTCCGAGTACAACCTGGACAGCTTCATGCACTCGTTGCATTAGTCGCCCCGTCAGGAGGCTGAGCAGGACGTGACCTCAGCCTGAAACGTCTCGCAGCAATAAGCACAGCCAGAATAGGAACTCTGTATGTTTTAGATGTATGACAGGAATCTGCAGGAGTGCTGTTACAGCATCACTTTCCTTCACTGTATCAGACATCCCATAATATACTTTAGAAATGAACCATCTTCAACCAACTGCTGAGTGGAAAGCAACAAACATCTCCAGTGTTCGTTTACATCCTCTTGATATTTATAGTTTGTTACAGCAGCAGGTGCTACTTTACCTCCTGCTGCCTTTTTGCACTTCACTTTACCAGAGTACTCAGTGTTAGGACTGCTTCCAGCACCGCTAACAGTTGGACCCCCCCGGCCCCGCCCTGCCACAGTCTTAAAGTACTGCTGTACCCAGCCGTGAACGTCAGAACCTCCAAACGACGAACGGGTGTCTGTTCCACAAAGGGAATCTGTGAGCAGAAACCAGAGCTGAGCTCCAGCAGCGCGGCTCCTTCTCTCTGAGCTGCTCTGGGAGGATCCAGAACCTGCAGCCAGCCGGAGGATCCAGAACCTGCAGC